CCCCCGCCTTGTTCGGGGGCTGAAACTGTCTTTATGAAATTAATGAAAGACCGGGAGGTTAGGAATATGAGGGGCGAATTCTGCTAAAATGTAGTAAACGATAACCAGCCATTGTTTCGGAGGACATCGGATGTGTAACTTCCCCAATTACTCCTGTAGGTAACGTCATTATTGTAGAACCTAAGATTGGTCTTTTGAGGCATTTTTGAGACTTTCGCATTCTGGCAACTAACTGACCCCACCCGGACTCGTGACTCATGACCCAACCGCTTCCTCTGCCCCACTCCTCCCCAAAGAGGCGGGCTCAGCTGTTGAGGAGTGTAGTCCACACCCCTATGATTGCATCTCCAACCAATCAGCAGCACCCATTCCCTGTTGCTCTGCCCACACCAAACCAGCTGAAAAACCCTAACCTCTGAGCTGACCCTTCAGGAAAACTTCCTTGAGTGGTAACCCTTCTTCCCTGAGGCCAGCCTCACATTAATACAACTCTATACTGCAGTAGCACTTCTCAGTGAATTGGTTTTGTCTGTAGTGGGCAGGAAGAACCTGTAGTGCCATTCATTCCTGTAAGTGGAAAGTTCTTTCCGTTTAGAGCTTAGCATGTTGTCACCTTCTCCAAGAAGCAGGTCTTGGCCAGGTGTGGTGGTTCATGGCTGCAATCCCAGCAAATTGCCGGGCCGAGGCGGGAGGATTGCTTGAGCCCAGGAGTTCAAGACCAGCCTGGACAACAAAGTGAGAATCAGTCTCTAAATTTAAAAATAATACAAATAAAAAGAATTTTTGTTTGTGTGTGTGTGTGGTTTTTGTTTGTTTGAGACGGAGTCTTGCCCTGTGACCCAGGCTGGAGTGCAATGGCACTGATTTTGGCTCACTGCAACCTCCGCCTCCCGGGTTCAGACAATTCTCCTGCCTCAGCTTCCCGAGTAGCTAGGATTGCGGGTGCCTGCCACCATGCCCAGCTACTTTTTGTATTTTTAGTAGAGACAGGGTTTCACCGTGTTGACCAGGCTGGTCTTGAACTCCTGACCTCGTGATCCGCCCACCTCAGCCTCCCAAAGTGCTGGGATTACAGACGTGAGCCACCGTGCCCAGACATAAAAATAAAGTTTTAAAAAAAGAGGCAGGTCTTCCCTGACTACCGTCTCACTTTTAGTACTGTCACTATTTTAATTCTTTCCAATTGCATAAGTTTTCTTTTTGTCTGTCCATTTTCTATTTTCCTCATCAGCGTTATTACTGGAGAACAGCAGGGTCCACCCGTCTTGTTTACTCTTACATGCTCAGTGAAGAGGCAATGCCAGAATTACTAACAGTGCTAAAGTTATTAAGATAATTCAGTAAGGTGCTGGATATAAGAGGAATATATGAAAATTATTTTTTTCTGCACTAACAACTACTAGTTAGATACAGAAATGAAAAAGTAATCCTAAAATGAAAAGATATCTAGGTACAAAATGTAAATAGTAACATAAAAATAAAAAATACTTTGAAGTAAATGAAATCTGAATAAGGCGGATAAGCTATTTTCTGGTTGGAAGACTTAATATCATAAAAACAATTATCACAAAGGAGTATCTCAAATGAGTTTATAAATGTCGCATTATTCCCATCAGAATCTCAGTGGGTCATTGTTTTTGTTTTTTGGAACTGTAAAATAATGTGGCAAAAATCTTAAAAGTTCAACAACACACTGTGTTGTTAAGACCGAAGAAAGATGAATCCTACACATATTGCTGATAGGACTGAAGATTGATTCAATCCCTAGGGAAGGCAATTTGGCAGTACCTGTAAAACTTAAGGCATTTACTCTTTGACTCAGCTATCATAATTCTGGGAATTTATGTTACAGTTACACATGTGTGAAAGGAAAATAAATCTTGGGGCCCCAAAATCACTAAGCCAAAGGGAAAAGTCAAGCTGGGAACTGCCGGGGCCGGGCGTGGTGGCTCATGCCTATAATCCCAGCACTTTGGGAGGCCGAGGCGGGTGGATCACGAGGTCAGGAAATGGAGACTATCCTGGCTAATATGGTGAAACCCCGTCTCTACTAAAAATACAAAAACAAAATTAGCTGGGCGTGACGGTGGTCACCTGTAGTCCCAGCTACTCGGGAGACTAAGGCAGGAGAACAGTGTAAACCCGGAGGCGGAGGTTGCAGTGAGCCGAGATCACGACACTGCACTCCAGCCTGGGAGACAGAGCAAGACTCCATCTCAAAAAAAAAAAAAAAAGAATCGCTTAGGTTCAGAAGTTCGAGACCACCTTGGGCAACACAGTGAGACTCTGCCTCTACAAAAAATTAGAAAAATTAGCTGGACGTGATGGTGTACACCTGTAGTTCTAGCTGCTTGGCAGGCTGAAGTGGGAGGATTGCTTGAGCCCAGGAGTTTGAGGCTACAGTGAGCTGTGATCACGGCACCACACTTCAGCCTAGTCAACCAAACGAGAACCTGTCACAAAAATTAACAACAACAACAAAAAATACCAAGGAAGGGCTTGCCTTATGAGGAATTAAAACTTAATAAATGGCTTTAGTAATGAATACAATGTGATACACAGGAAATGACACATAAATCAGCAGAACAGAATAGAAAATTTATAATGAGATTCAGTGGAAAAGTGATGCTTCATAGAATAAATAGAGCTTGCATAATTGGCCTAAATCTGCACAAGACAAAACCAGTTTCTTATCTAATAGAATATGGAAAAACAACATCACCACAAGTCCAGAAATGAAAAATTAAAACAGGCTGGGTACGGTGGCTCACGCCTGTAATCCCAGCGCTTTGGGAGGCTGAGGCAGGCGGATCAAGAGGTCAGGAGATCGAGACCATCCTGGCTAATACAGTGTAACCTCGTCTCTACTAAAAATACAAAAAATTAGCCGGGCGTGGTGGCGGGCGCCCGTAGTCCCAGCTACTCGGGA